ATCCTCCTTCCTCCTTCCTGTTTTCCTTCCCCTTGCCACATCTGGATCTGCTTCCAACCCAAAGAGGAGCCAACCATGCTGGGTAGCTCCTGTGAGCCAGACATATATTGGTACTACATTTTTTTCACCATCTGCCTGGCATGGGAAAGGTAGTGCCAAGAATGAGGAAGTTAACCATCCTGGACCGAGTGAGAGACTTCTTCCTGGCTGTGCAACAAAACTCATAGCTCATAGCTCAGGGTCTGCCCTCTGGATCCTACTTCCCACTCCTCGTGGCAACGAACAAGGACTAGAGCTCATGTAGCTCAGGATACCATAAAAAAAATTTATCTCTATAGTTCATGTCCAGACTGTAGATAATATTGGAAAATTCTAACACATCTTGGGACATTGTCCTGACAGTGAATGGCACTAAGTACGCTTTTTTGTCCTTGCTCCTGGACCATCTGAATAACCTGGATTCAGCCCTCTTGCTTACAATTTGCCGATCCCTTTAGTCAATTGGGCCCCCACACCAGCCTCCCAAATACAGTTCCTGCCCTCAGAGCATAGATGGAGCTGAATAAAAGGACTTTGAAGGCCAAAGAGACAGAGGAACCCTAAATAGATTCTAACCTGCAGGTCTCAGGGAAGCAGGTCCCTACTAAGGGTATGGGGACTTAGGAGACAAGGTCAGCCTGGTTCTGGCTATAGACGCCTCCTGCTTGCCTGTATCCAGCCATCCAAACCTTCTGGTCCCACTTGCTCCCCACCACCGTGTGTCCTTGAGCTCAGGTGGGGCAAGAAGGTCCTGAGTCATCATGAGGCTGGATGCTGGCTGAAGGAACACAAGCATGACTCACGGCTCCTCTCCTGGCTCATAGGCCCACCCCTCCATGAACCACCTATGCATGTGGGCACTTTGGGATGATACACAGCTGGAGGTGCCTGCACGTATCTGTCAACAAAGATTCGTTCTTGCTGAATAGTCACCTGCCATCACCCCACCTAGTCAGACCCCACCAGACTGAGGTGCCCGGAGTCTAAACCTGGAGTCTTCCACCTATTTAAGGAACATTGCTTTCCCTTCACACCTAAACCAGCTTCCCCGTGGTAAGTTTTGGCTGTATCTTTCCTTGAGCCCCTACCAGGTTCTACACATTGCACTAAGAGCTGAAGATAAAATGATGAGCAAGCCCCCATCAGTAAGGCACCTGCCCCACAAGCACAAGAACCTGAGTTCAAATCCCAGGCCAAAAAAAAGCTACATTTGGCAGTGTACACCTGTGTCTCCAGTGTTGGGGATGCAGAGGCAAGGGGATTCCTAGCCAAACAGGCTAGACTTGAGAGAGACATTGTTTTTTAAAAGTGAATGGGGAGCCACTGAGGAAGAAGCCCAACCTTGGCCTCTGGCCCATACATTTATACACATGCAGGTGCACCCTCACACACATGTGCACATACATGTGAACACATATACCACGCACCAGTGATAAGCAAGCTTTATCTCCTTGAGCAGCCATAGGACAAAGCAGACTCCCCCAGTAAATATAAAACTCACAAGTGAAGCAAATGCTATTGGTAGCCAAATGGGATGCATACAGTAAAGCCTGCTGCATGGTCAGAGGGATCAGGGGCAGTCAGCTGAGAGTCGCCTGAGTGAGGGGTAAAGAGACACCCAACGAGAAGAAGAGATGAAACTCACCCTGAGAGAGGGACCAAATGCCCTAGTGTGGTAAAGTGATCGCAACTCAAACATCCATCGTGGCTAAAGGACATAAGCTTCATCAAGGAAAGAGGAAACTGATTACAATTTCATGGGAGGCTTAGATGAGCTACCGAATAACTACTGGGATGGGCCCAACACCCTCTAAGATGTTATCCTGACTCTCGGTGACAATGGGCATGCTTCTGCCCTTCCTCTTGGACCATCTGAATGACTTGGGTGTCGAGCATTAGGTCATCCTTCCGGTCTACCTGGTCCCCACTTAAGATCAAGAGCCTGTGTCAAGTTGGTGTTGCTGAGGACACATAGACCCTCCCTCAGGAACCTGAAGGCTGGATGTAGCCAGGTTCAAACTATATGACATGAAGCCAGGTGATCTCCCTTAGAAGAGGGGATAGGAGAGATGATCTCCACCTACCTAGCAAAGCCCCATTCTGTGTTCAGAGTAGGCGGAGAAAGTAGCTCCTCCCAAATTACGTTAAAGGGGCGTGGCACTACAGCCCATATCCGGCTAGCCCCAGAACTCTGAGACGCAACTTTCTTGCTTCCACTAGGCGGTGCTATCGAGTCACTTTTCTGGTCGGCTTCACTGGTGGGAACAGAGCCCAGGTCTCCAGTGGGTGTTGTAGCCTTTTAGCCCTGTGAATAAGAGCTAGTCACCAGTAGAAATCAGTTGTCAGCACTACTGAATGTGGTGGTGAAAATCGGGAGAGGAGGGTGTCCTTGTGAGACCCTGGAACTGCTGGGGTCTGACGCCTGCCCACTGCTTAACCATCCCCCAATTCCCAATTCTGAGCTTGCTTATAGCCAAGTGGCCTCAAGCAAGTCTGCCTTTTCCCTGTGTTTCTTCCGAACATCAGTGGCAGAGATCCAAGCAAAGACAAAGGGTTTCACACCACACAGTAGAACCTAAGGAACTCATACATCCATATTTCTGTAAAGCGGGTTCCTTTGGAGGATAAATTCAAAAGGGTAATGACTAGAGACCCACAAGCCATCCATAGTCTTCTGGGCTTCCATCTCCACTAGCGAGTGTGTATGTGTTTTGTTCTCTGCCCAGCCCACATGACCCTTCAAGGGTGAACCACCCCCTCTATTCTGTGTCACACTTGACAGGGAACTCATTGTCCTGACGGACATCCTGATATCTGGGGCTCAACATCCATTTAAGTCTCATGAAGCCCCTTTCCTCGTGGTTCCCACCATTCAAGGGCCTGAGAACCGTCCTTTCCCCATCTCTGAAACAGCTCTCTCGCCTTTCCTCCTCCCTAAGGTTCCAGTCCTTTAGCTCCAGGATGCACACTTTCAGATGAGGCACACCCCAGCTCAGCCCTGCAGGGATCCAAGACTCAGACCAAAAGTTATCAGAAGCTCCAGTCACAGGCCAATCGGGACTTGCCTGGCATTGTAGGTAAGGACAACAGATGCCAACAACACTTCATTCCTTTTATTAATAATGCCTCCTCTTGAACTACCATGGGCAGAGCACTATACACCATGCTCAGCTCATTGGCCCCATGAAAACATTTAATTCATTAGCACTGTGTAATGAAGGTATTTGTTCTCCATCTTAGGAAAAAGGAATGCAGATTCGGTATTCTGACCCGATTCTCCCAGACTGGTGAAGATGGGAACCCAGGATTCAAGCATAGGATCATCAGGTTTTCTCTCCCACGCCCGTGATGTCTTTTGTCAACCCCACTCCCACGTTCAACTCTACCCAGCCAGATGAACAAGCTATTGAAATGGATATAGAGCTGGCTGACTCTGTCCCTAGCCGGAAGCAGTGAGCCCTCCCCACCCCTGGCATCTCTGTCATGTACCCAGATAATGCTCCCCCCATCCTACTCCTCAGTCAGCCATTAAAGAAAGCAAAAGTTGCTCATCTACCAAGGGGAGGCTCCTCACCACGGAGCCGTGTCTGGCCTAAAACTCACAGTGGTCCTTCTGGACCCACCTTCCTGTGTCAGGTTACATGTGTGACCCATCAGACTCAAGTCAGCTGGATCTTACAGTGTACTTACTCCTTAGATTTGTGTATCAACCACAAGATACAGAGTCCATCATTCTTATTGTACAATGAGGCAATTGAGAGCCAGGCTTCCCAAAGTCACTAATCCAGAGCAGGGCCAAGTTTAGAAACCAGCTGGCCTATTCTGGAAGCCTCTGGAAATGCCCTTGTCATAAATGGTACCCAGCTGTGCCTTGAGCCCACAAACTCTAGGCACTGTGCTGAACAATGTTTTTACCGGTTGTGCATCTGGTCAGCATCCCCAAGACCAGGAGACAGGACTATTATCATCCCCATTTTATAGATACAGAAACTGAGGCTTGGAGAGGGTAATCAATTTCCTCTAAATCAGTAGTTCTCAACCTGTGAGTTAAGACTTCTACGTGGGTTAACTGACCCTTTCACAGGGGTCACATATCAGATATTTGCAATTCATAACAGTAGCAAAATTATAATTATGAGAATAACTCTATGGTTGGGGGTCACCTCACCATAAGGAACTACCTGAAAGAGTCACAGCATTAGGAAGGCTGAGAACCACCTCTCTAAATTGAATAACAATAGACTCAGTTCTAGATAGTCTCAGATCGGGGAACTAAGACCACCAACAAAGCATGAATCCTTATCTTGGATTCGGAGTTTTAGGGGACTAGTGAATGCCTTAGTATTGCACACAAAAATGTCTACTTATTTGGAGACAGGATATACAAAGAAAAGTTGTAGGTTACAATACAAAGTTATTTTAAAGGATCACAGAATCATTAAGAATCCTTAACCTAAGGCCAGTAAGACAGCTCAGCAGGGAGAAGTACCACACAAGCCTGAGTTCAATCCCCGAACCCACCATGGAAGGAGAGAGCCAACTCCACAAAGCTGTCCTCCAGCTTCCTCAAACACATACTACACAGAACATCTGCACTTGCTCACATACCATGCACACACAATAATGATGGTGACAATAATAAGCTTATCATTTTATTGTAAAGACCCTTCACCTAGTACACTGTCTGGCACCTAAAGGGATTCCACATCTGGTAAATGCGTGGACAAATGAATGAGTGGGGAAATACACCTCTGCCCTAAGAGATCCCATGACCTGGCACACACAGCCATCTATATCTTCTGATGGTGAGAGCCAACCTGGGACCTGAGCCAAGCCCGCCCCCGGGGCCCTTTCTCCCAGTCCCAGGGGCCAGAGCCAGGTGCTCGCCTGAGCTCCAAAGCAACGCTTCCCACATTTCTCCCACCCCCACTTCTGACAATGACCAGGGAGACAGTGATTGTGCAACTCAGAGAAAGAAACTTTATTGATTGCCAGCAGGGACGCGGGTCAAGTAAAGGGCGAAGTGCGTGGGGACAGTAGAGGGGCTCTTTCAGCAGTATCTGCGTCCACACAGGGGCCTCCTACGCCTGAGTTGTGCCTAGCAGCCTTAGTTCTTGGTGCGCAGGACCTGCTCGTGGCTGGAGACCACCTTGCCATCGTGCACATCCATGACTTTGGTGCGGATCTGGCGGTTGGTGGAGGTCACTGGGGAATGCGAGAGAGAAGGCGTTAGTGAGGGTGGACAAGAGTGTTCTGAAGCCAAGAAGTTGAGGAGTGATCTTTCTCCTGCTGCCCTCTGTCCTTATTGCTACCTCAAACACTGCTGCCAGGGCACCTTGTTGTCCTGGACAGTCTGTGTCCTCAAACTGGAGCACTCAACTGGTGCTGTCCAACTAAACCCAAATGCATTAGATGGGCTATGTAGGGTGCTGTCCGTGGTGCTGATTTCCACCACTGTGGCGGCTACCCAGACACCCATTGGAGGAACAAGTTGAAGGTCACCAGTCCTCGCCCTGAGGAGAGTTATAGGAAATGGCTGCTTCTATCTGAAGAGATTCATAGGGAATACTGAGTAAGAACACTTAGCTTAACCCCCAAGAAGGTCCTAATCTAGGTCCTAGATCTGCTGGAAGATCTGAAGGTATTTGAGAGCTCAGGCATGACAGGAAGGAGAGTCTTACCGTCTCTGGATGACTGAGAACCAGAGGAGAACTGGGAGGATGAGGAGAACTGGGTGGATGAGGAGAGGCTGCAAAGGCAGAATAGGGCAGGGCGTTAGACATATGGGAGACATTTGTGAAGAGAAGGGGCATGGACTAGAGGGTGACCAGAGACTCACTGGGCATCCTCGCCCTCCAGCAGGCGACGGTAAGTGGCGATCTCCTGCTCCAGACGCGTCTTCACGTCCAGCAGGATCTTGTACTCCTGGTTCTGCTGCTCCATCTCGCAGCGCAGCTGACCCAGCTGCTCCTCCACGCTGCTGATCATTTCCTGAATCTGGGACAGCTGCATGCAGTAGCGGCCTTTGGTCTCCTCCAGGTTATTCTCCAGGGATGATTTCTGGGAAAGACAGATGGGTTGGTGGATCATTGAGAAAGGCCATGCCCCTTCAGGAAGTCCAAGGCCGACCCCTGCATGCAACTGCATTCCTACCATACTGAGCTGGGACTGCAGCTCGATCTCCAGGTTCTGCATGGTACGTCGGAGCTCAGAGATCTCGCTCTTGCCGCTCTGCACCAGCTCGCTGTTGGTGGCCACCTCACGGTTCAGTTCCTCCGTCTGTGAAAAAAGAGAACACCGTTCACACCAGAAAATCCTGGAAAGCTTATGGTCTATACTCCTTCCTCTCCAAGTGGCACCCACCTTGGTGAAGAACCATTCCTCGGCATCCTTGCGGTTCTTCTCAGCCATCTTCTCGTATTGGTCGCGCATCTCATTCAGGATGCGGCTCAGGTCCACACCGGGTGCTGCGTCCATCTCCACATTGACATCTCCACCCACTTGGCCTTTCATGGAGGCCATCTCCTGCAGAGACAGAAAAGGTCCCAGAGTCAGAAGCCTCACAGCTGACAGGGCTTTCTAACAAGTGGTCCTGGCCTGAACACTGCTTCCCCATCTGCCGTCTTATTGCTTCTCTCCATTCACCCTTTTAAAAAGCTGGCTTTTCTGTTTGGCTCTCACCTCCTCATGGTTCTTCTTCAGGTAGGCCAGCTCTTCCTTGAGGCTCTCAATCTGCATCTCCAGGTCGGCTCTGGCCAGGGTCAGCTCATCCAGCACTCGGCGTAGGCCATTGATGTCGGCCTCCACACTCATGCGCAGGTTCAGCTCTGTTTCATACCTAGAATGATCCAAGAGAAAAGGAATGAGCTATCCATCCCAGCCACACTGAAAGCTTTGTTCTCTTCCTATGGGTATTATTCCCAGAGTTGGCACCCAGGGCTGTTGTGGAGAGCCAGTATCAGACACAATGCCCATTGATTGCTTAGGTCTGAACATTCCTGGGGTCCAGGGAATAAAAATCACCAGGAGGCATTTATCTGAAAGAGGCACTTCCAGCTTCAGTTAATAAGACCCAAGGCCTCCAAATATAACAGCCTACTGCATTTTAAGGGCAGGTGAAGGGGGTGTGGAGCACCTCTCCCTAAAAGTGATGGCTTTTTCACCTGGCTGTGGATCAGAATCACCTAGGTTACAAATAACTGAACTCCCAGGGTGGAGCCCAACAGTCTTGTGTTTTTACAAGCACCCCAAGGGGTTCTTCTGGCACAATTCAACACTGGTAGAAAGCACGGCTCCAAAATGCCCCACCCTACAGACACTGGAAGCTCTGAGCCACCACACTAAAAACTCACTTGGTACGGAAATCATCAGCGGCCAGCCGGGCATTGTCGATCTGCAGGAGGACATTGGCGTTGTCCACAGTGGCTGCAAGGATCTATAAAATGGAAAAGCCACGGGTCAATTGTTAAGCAGGTGTAGGTAGATGTCACTGCAGCCTACACTGGCCCTTCTCTCTTGCTCTTGCTTGAGTTCTGTTCTTCTCACCCCATGAGCCTTTCTTCACCGCAGCAGCCTGAGAGACAGCCCCACATAGTCATTTTCTACCCAGGACTTCAACTCCTGGTTAACAGAGAGCTGTGCAGAGGTCTGGCCCCAGACTCAAAAGCCAGAAAGTTCAGGTTTTATTGCTATCGCTCACCTGTAAAACCTAAGATAGATCTTGGCATTTCAAAGCCCCCTAGGGCTCGCTCCACAACCCTCCATCTTCCAGAGCCTCCTCTCCACACAGAGCAGCCCTATCAGCTGTCTGCACACACACACACACACACACACACACACACACACACACATTCCTTTCTAAGCCCAAGAAGCATGAACCTCAGGTGGGACTTTCCCAAGAGACAAAACCCAACTTGCCCGGGGGATTAGAAAAAAGGGAAACCAGAGAAGAAAAGAAGACAGATGAATACATAAGCCTGGCCGGAGTTCCTGCCAGAAACTTGTCTAATTTCCATAATTTATGTGAGGCACTAGAGCCAAGTTTAACAGGACGGGGAAGAAGGGTTCTGAAGCACAACTCCACCAGGATCTCTCTGCTTCTGGGGTAAATATATGGGTCACAATTAGCTGTGACTGTGGGTTTTCTATGTCTGTCTGACTGTAGGGAAAGACCAGCTGGTGTTCATGGGTGGCGGCAACCTCAGCCCAGACTAACGAGCTAATGAGCGGTTTGGGTGTCTAGCTTGGTGGGTCCCGTTACAGCCTCCCTCCTCCCTTCTGCTGGAGAGATAACCGCCTTCTATAGTAGAAGGCGGGCCACTGGCGCTCTAGTCTCTGCTCTGCCCCTCCTCTGTATCATCTTTAGCAAGTCACAGCCCTCTTAACGTTCCGACTTCTTCCTCTGCAAAATATTAAGGGCTGGAACCATTGGTCTCATGTAAGCTAAAAATGGAAGCTTAGAAAAATGTGGGAAAAGCCAGGAAGGGACACCATCTTCTCATTGACCACACTACTGGGGATGTTCAGGACCTCAGAGAGGGATCTGGGACCGGAAGTTGTCCTATCTAGGAGTCTAAAGATGATCTGAAGCATCGGAGGAAACTTAAATGGCAGGTGCTGCTGCCCGGTTGACCCACCTTGCTCTTCAGGTCCTCGATGGTCTTGAAGAAGGGGCTGTAGTCTTTGATCTCAGCAGGCCGCTGCCTCTGGTACCAGTCACGGATCTTCACCTCCAGGTCAGTGTTGGCCTCCTCCAGGGCACGCACCTTGTCCAGGTAGCTGGCCAGGCGGTCGTTGAGGTTCTGCATGGTCACCTTCTCGCTGCCCACCAGGAGACCATCACCACCGCCAAAACCACCACCAAGGCCACCACCGAAGCCACCACCGAAGCCACCGCCTAAGCCACCCCCAAAGCCACCCCCAATGCCACCACCATATCCTCCACCAAAACTGCTGCTGCTGCTGCTGAAGCCCCCACCATAGCTACTTCCCATCCCATAGGCTCCCCCAGAGGAGAAGCGAGAGGAGCTGACTGTCAGGCCCCCATAGGTGCTGGGAGCCCGGCAGGATCCTCCAGTCAGGACGGAGGAGATGCGGCTAGAGCCACCACCCATGCCGCAGGAGCCCTTCATGGAGCTGGAGGAGGTGAACTGGCGGCTGCAGGTGGTCATGTTGTCGAGGAAGGTGAGAGAGCGAGCAAGTCAGCGAGCGGAGAGAGGAGAGAATGCTGCTCAGGTACGTTAGAAAAGGATGGCAGGGCTTTATAGTCATGAGTAGGGGGCGGTCCTGGCGTTTTCCATTCCCCTTGGCTTTCATCACTCACAGGCCAGCGCCAACTCCCCATCAGATCCCTCCTCTCCTCCGCCTCATCATGTCTGTCATATTTTACTGGAAACTCATTGTTTGAAGTGTTTTGGGCTTTCTCGTCCCGCCAGGCATGATTCATCAGGGGAGGGGTGGGCCTGCAGGCTATACTTTCCCATGAGGCCCTGGGAGTCACGGCCCTCGGGAACCCACACTCTGGGCTCAGCTAGGATGACAGAGTAAGGCCTTACCACACCGTAAACCTGCTGACCTGTCAGTTCCCATTAAATGGGGTGGGGGTCCCTTACTACATGTAGAGGAAGCCCACCATAGCCGGAAGCGGGTAGCTAGCTGGAGGTACTCCAGCATGGCCACCCTCAGCACTCCCTGCTAAGGACTAGCCATGCTAAAGAGTTTCTCACAGCCTCAGCCATCCAGGTGGCTCAGACTTGAGGCAGTTCCCCTAAGTCCTGGGTACAGACCCTAATACCCACCACACACCTGCACAAAGACCTGTGACGTTAGCTATCCAGTCACCAAAGGTCTCACAGACACAGCCAAAGACATTGAGAAAGAGCCCGGAGTCAGGTACAACCCGGGACACGATGCTTCTCGGAGCCTCAGCTTGCTCTTCTGAAAAGTGGGAGCAAAAGGCACCCACCCACTGCTTCTACTGCAGACAGCTCTGGAAGTCCAACGGGACAAGGATGTTGAAGACTTTTGTCACCTTTGTGTGGCATGGAGTCTGGCCGGAGGGTCAGAGCGTATTTTGGTCTCAAAGTATGTGAGGCTACATGCCTGGGAGAAGCCAAACTTTTTTTGTTTCCAGCCCCAGATATCCCCTCAGACGCCAGGATAGCTGAGGTGGGAGACAGAGAATCAACTCAGTCACCCACACTTGATTCCCCATGGAGTTCACGCAGGACATGTATCAAGGAGGAATTCAGGCCCCTGGAAATGAGGTTGGATTGAGCCAAGGGCATGGCCAAAGTGGACATGAGGGTCCCTGACTCCTGAGTTCCTGAGGGCCAGCAGACATCAGCTAATTCTGCTTCAGAGGTTCGTATACCCAGCCTCAGTTATCCTGAATTGGACATGCTTGAGAAACTCCCAGAACACCCACTTCCTGCCCCACACCCTCCTGCCAGCCCCTCAGCCCCATGGACCCCAGCAGGCATGTTGGGAGGAATGTGGTCGTGTCTGGGACTGCCTGGCATGTCCTATCTTCCCAGACAGGCCCCAACAGCCCCTGTTGGGGCTCTTACACCTCGTGTTAGTATCATCGACTCCCAGAAGGGAAGAAGCTCCTCAGACAGCCAACCCCACCTGACCCTGCCCACCACCAAGGCAGAAGTCAACACCCTCCCCACAACAGAGCTTAAGAGCTCAGGAGACAATGCTAAGGCAGACTATGGAGGCTGAGGGCTCCCCCAAATTTGCCGCTCTAAGGACTAGCGAGGATATGAGTAACCTGCGGCCCCACCCGGCTCCACCCACCCCTGACAGACACTTCTAATCTCCTTCCAGAGAATACTCTCCACAAGCCTGACCCAGCCCTTCAATTTCCCCAGAGTGAGGCAGAGGGGATTTGGACTGAGGAATAGATACTTCTGTTAGAAACTGTTGCTGTCGAGTGGGATAAGACGTAGGGGGTCTCCTTCCTGGAGAAAGAGGCAAAATTCAGGGAGGTCCGTGAAGAAGAACTGGGTGCGGAGTCCAACCCCAGCTTCTTTAGCGGCCTAACACCCTCGACCAAGAAAAGCCCTGTGTCCCCTGTCAGTTGGTGGGACCCCAAGGAGCCTCCCTCCCGGTGCTCCTCTGCCACCACCCTACCTCTCCCTTCCCCCCTCTTCTTCCCCTGCCCCTCTACTCCTCCAGTCCCTCCTCCTCTGATCGTCATCTTTATCCTGCTCTTCCTCCCCTCCCACCCTGCTCCTCCATCTTACAAGGGGAACACAAACATAAAAATATGAGGGAATGAATGTTGGATAAACACACACAGTCTAAAGGAAGACCCTTGCTAGGCCTCCCCACCCTAGACTCTGATCCTGCAGGTAAAATGCACCAAGGTCAACAGACACAGACTCCATGGCCAAGGAGCTGACTAAGGCCCACCCAGTTGGGGAATAGGAACGAGACAGCACTCTCCTATCTCCATGGTGCTGATGGTAACATTTTCAGGACATGCATTTTCTGAGGCATCAAAGGTTAATGAGTTGGAATGGGTATCAGATAGGCACCTCTGCCTCCTGAGACCTGGCGTACCCCTACCTCCCTCCTAGAAGCATGTTCTGTGTGAGTACCATATCTGCCCCTCCCTCCAGTCTGCCCCAGGAACAGGGAAGAAAGGAGGGGCCTGGGCAGTCAGCACTATGTGGTTAGCGAGTTTCCTACACTTCCCTGCGGTGGGGAGACCCATGCCAATCTAAACAGGTGAAAGGACTGGGCCAGGCAACCCCCACACTGCCTCATTGTGTGCTGAGGCCTGGGTGGAGCTAAGGGGTTGCATCTTCAGGGAGGAGGAGTCGGGGCTGAGGAGAGAGGCATAAGCCTTGCCTTAGAAGCCCACAGTATAGTGAGAGATACTGGAAGAGACTGTCCCTGCCCTTGGAAGTCTTTGGCCTGGAAGAAAGAGAAAAGGCCTTCCAAGATAGGAACAAGCCTGAGAGATCTAAGTACTGCCTGCCTCTCATGAGTGCCTGTCCCAAGTCTTCACAGATTCAGCAGCTTCAACAGTGCAAGTCTATTCCCTCAAGTCTGGAAGCCAAGTACCCCCAGAGAAGATGGAGGGGCCACGCTACCTTTATGAGCTAAGGAAGGATCCTTCCTGTCCTCCACCAGCTTCTGGCTTCCCCCTGGAGTCCCTGGGTTTGCGGCAACAAAACTCCAATCTCTCCTTTTTTCTCCCCACAGCCTTACTGTGTACCTGATCATCTTGATCTGTCTCTTACAGTTGTGCTTATTGGATCCAGCGCCCCCCTCGTCCAGTGTGACGTCATCTCAGTCCTTACCTTATCTGTCCCTGCAGAGATCCTACTTGGAAGTAGCCTTGACTTTGGAAGGACACTACATAAACCCTCTCCACCGTGTTAGCAGACTGGGTGCTGGTAGCCAGCTGTGGAGGAGGCAGGGGAAAGTTGGGGAGATAATTATGATAAGAGGTGGGTGGAGCCAGTCTGAGGTTTCTGAAGAAAGCAGCTTTGTTAGTGTTAGTTAGAGTGTTGGGGCCAGGCCAGCAGGGAGACCAGGCTTCCCACTACCCGCCCCCACCCCTTCAGCCCTTAAAGCTTCCTACTACCCGCCCCCACCCCTTCAGCCCCTAGGGGCAGTTTTTTTGTTTCTGTTTTTCCTTTTTTTTTAAATTTTGTTTTGGTTTTTTGAGTTGGCTTTTTTTGTTGTTTGTTCATTGTTGTTTTTCTTTTGTTTTTGCTTTGTTTGAGACACTCGCTATGTAGCCCAGGTTGACCCCAGATTTGTCATTTCTGCCTCTACTGCTTACCTGCCAGGACTGGGATTATAATCCCTTGTCACCATGCCTGGCTATTTTTAATTTTTTATTGCAAAATAATTTTAGATTCTCAGATGCTTCCAAAAAGAAAAAAAATGGTCAGGCTTGGTGGTGCATGCCTGTAGTTCTAATTCTTGGGAGGTGGAGGCAAGGGATTTATCCTCAAGGTCAGCCACATAGCAAGTTTGAGGCCAGCCTGGGTTACATAAGACTCTGTCTCTTTAACAACAATAATAATAAATTTTAAAATTGCAAAAAAAGAATCCAGAGAATACCCTTCCTCCAGTTTCCCTTCATGTGAACACACATCACATAAGCATTGTACAGTTTTCAAAACAGGAAATTAACACTGGCACAAACAATGTCATTAGTCAACTGCAGATGTTCCTGGAATTTTGCTGGATTTTCCAACAATGTTCCCTCTCTGCTACAGACTATAGCTGTGGATTCCATGCTACACTCACTCGTCCAATCCCCTGAGCCTCCTTGGGTCCAGGGCAGCTCTTCTGCCTCCCCTGTCTTCCGTGACCTTGATACCTTTGAACAGTATTGATTGGCTCTCTAGCAGAATATCTCTGCTCCAGTTTCCCTGCTTTCTCATGAACTAGACAGTTGCATTTGCCAAGAAACCCTCACAAATGATGCTACATCCTTTCAAGCATCGTATTAGGTCAGGGGACAATAGGTAGACACATTGTTGTGTCTTGTTGCCACTGAGTTGATGGTATACGCCAGCTAAGACAGCCCTGGGTTAGAATTCTCCACCTGGAAAAATCTCTATTTTGCCCTAATAAACATTGGGAAGGAGAGACCTGGAGTCTACACATAAGTCTGATTCCCCCTTCATCTTTGACCCTCTAACGCATGGTTCTGTCAGAGGGAAAGAACTCCTATCACCCGTCTGACTTGCTCTGGACTCCCTAAAGAGCTGTGGCCTCAGGAGAGGCCTGGGGGAGGACAAGGGTCCACACTTAGAGAAAAGATTCTTTGGCTCCCTCCTCTACCTCACATCAGACTGAGTGTCCTGGACCCATCTCATTGCCCAGTCTAGAACATTCCCATTCTGGCTTCCTTTAGAGAAATGTTACATGCTTCTCTTTAGTGGTGTGGAAGGTGGGGCAGGGAAGGGTGGTACAGAGGCATCGGCATTGGTCAGTATTGGGAGTTTTGTTTGACTACTTGATTGCTTGCTTGTGACAGGGTCTAACTATGTAACCAGGCTGGCTTTGAAGTCACAGGGATCCTTCAGTCTCAATTTTTCCTTAGCTCTAGGATTATAGATATGCCTTCATGCTAGTCCAGACATTTCCCTCATTCCGTTTCCTCGAGTCTTTCCTTATCCCTTTCCAGCCCTGTGGGAAAGAAATAGACAGTAAGGTCCTCCCAGGTACAGGTGGGAAGCACGATCCCAGTCCCAAGGCTGGACTTCCCTAATTTTCCTGATAAAAGGATCTTTCTTCTCTTCCAAACCCCTAAGCCCCACCCTCTCCCTCCCTGCCGAGCCTCAGAGAGAGGTCTCCTAGCACTCAGGCTATCATATGCAGGGCAGCTGGGACCAAACAGTCTCTACTGCAGAGAACAGGGATGACTAAAACATGTGGTCCTGAACAGGCCAGCAGGCAGGGGTGTAGGCAGGGAGCCAATCATAAGGCAGGGATGTAGGCAGGGAGCCAATCAGAAGCCTAGCTTACTCCACAAAGCCTAGAATCCACTTTTTCTCTAGAGAGCTCTGCCATGTGACTGGTTGCTGGTCTCCCGGGCCAGCCTGGCCATCTGAGTCATGTGTCCTTGTAAGAGTCTGGCCTGACTCAGTAAATGGGTTGAGCCAAGTAAGTTAGCACCTGAAGTCTGACCAGGTTGCCTAACCACGCTGCAAAGCCTATGAGACAGAGAATGAGGTCCACATTACGAATGAAGATTGGGGGGGGGGGGCCGGCAACTTCTCAACTTCTGCAGCAAGGGAGCGAGCTGCTTCACAAGCTCCAACTGCTGCTTAGCCTGGATTCAAGCCTCATTTGTCAAGGACAGGTTCCCTTCTGCTAGGAGGTCCCCAAGAGACACAAGCTCAACCCAGGCTCTAGACCAATCTCTTAAGTTTACAGATAAGAATGTAAGGCTGAGGGCTAAAGGGTCATGTCCAAAGACACACAAAAGATCTCACTTCAAACGTGAAAACATTTAATAACAACACCAGGGTCTGGGAGAGGTAGGGTAAGAACAGAAACAGGATACCCTGTCTGCGCCGCAGGGTCATATCCAGGTTAAGAACATGGGTGGTCAGTTGCTAGGTCTGATTACCAACCAGCCACTGGCTTCCAGCCCAGGGAACACACAGCTTTCACTCTCCAGCCCAGTACCCCTGATGTTCCACTGTGAGCCAAACCTCCAACAGGCCAGGCTCATCGCAAGCACCTACATCTCCGTCTGCCTCACAGCCTCTGCCTTAATTTCCACACCTCCTCTCTCCCTTTCCAAATCCCTCGCACTCCTTAGGACTGAACCTTTGCTCCACATGTCTTTAAGATACGTATTCTACTATACACTGAAGCATTGAGCAGATGCTCAATAAAGGGCAGAAGGAGAGAGGCATGGAGGGTGGGGTACCAAAGAGGAAGAGAGGAAAAGGGAGTGTAGAAAACTGCATAGATAAGACAGATGATAAATAAGTGGTCAAATAGATGGCTGGCTGGCTGGCTGGCTGGCTGGCTGGCTGGCTGGATGGATGGATGGATGGATGGATGGATGGTCAGATGGACAGATGGATGGAGGTGGACAGATGGATGCGTAAATGGAGGGAAGCAAAAATAAAAGGGTGAGATGGGGGAATCCAGGTGATTGGCTCGGTGTTATAATGCTTACGTAGTATGTGTAAGGCTCTGGATTTGAACAGGTGAGGAAGAGAACACAAGAATGCGTAAGCAAATGAAGCTAGGATGGAGGGAGGGAGGGACGGACGGACGGACAGACGGACGGATGGACAGACAAGCTGGCAGGAGATACATGAATGGCGGATGAGCAGATGAGTGAAGGAAGGGCAGCTGCCCAGCCCAGGGCCGAGGAGGTCTTCGCTGACGCTTGAGGATCAGTGGGACACCAAACCAGCAGAGGACATGAAGAACGGCATCCCGTTTGCTCAGGGAAGCACCCGAGCAGAGAAGAGGAAACAGGAAACCCATCCGATGGAAGCTACAAGCAGCTAAGCCTGGCTGCGCCTCTCAGCTCAGAGCTGAGCCCGCCTGATGACACCGACAGCAGAGACTGGGGATGAAGAAGGCCATGAGGCTCTCAGACTCCATC